CTTGTAGGGTGCACTCAGGGCACATTTTCAGAGTTTTTCTCTGCAATAAGAGCTAGAAACTTGCATTTTAAAAAATAAATAAAGCTGAGATTCTCACTAAAACCCTTGACTCCAGTAGCAGCAACTTGAAGAAAAACACCAAATAGTGTGACATCCATAATAAAATTGTCAGTTGGCAACACTGCAACGTTCTCTGAAATACTGGTAGTATTTCACCAGGTACTACTGAAATAAAAGGGCACGTCAGGTGAGGGATCGTGTATCAAACCTGCAAGGAACAAGCCCTCTCATAAGTAGCCTTTAGGTGTAGGTATTTTCTAGGTAAGGCATGGGTATAAGTTAAGGCAGTAATGTAATGAGCCTACAAGGCATGTAAGACAATAGCTTAGCTAAACAAGGCATAAGGCCCCAAAAGCCTTAGCATAAGCAGCTAACCAGGAGTAACCATAGATTGTAATATATCACAAGATAGAAGGCTGGAGTGACTAAACTGCTGACAGGTAACCCCAAGTTTACTAGTTTGTACCTGTTTGTGATATTTTATTTTAGGAACATCAACAGATGTCTGACCACAAGAATGCCGGTAACTAATGATGTATATGCTAATAAGCTTGAGGCAAATGGACTCATAACCTATGGGAGAAGGGCACCCCAACATTAATATAGTAAGGAAGTACAAATAAGGAAAAAGGGTACAACTCCTACTGACTATGCATTAGGCACAGTGGCATCAGCACAACACATTATAAAAGTTGTATTCCGGCCTGTATGCATTGGGGAAAGGTAACTCTTGGAAGATGCCAGGATGACAGCCACTGGTGATGCTGACGCTGACTAACACTTCGGGTCTTTTTTCAAGCAATGGTGTGAGCATATGGATGCTCAGACACACATTCTGTGTTATGTCTATCTACCTTGCTGGGTTGGAGTGTTTGTAACTTTACTAACTGTGTTAATAAAATATTATAAATACAGAAGGTTTTTCTTAAGCATGAGTGTTGTAACCGTGCACATCAGGGTTTCCAGCCGAACAGAAATGCTCAGAATACTGGGTCTGATCTTGGGACAAGAAACTACCAAACCTCAGAGTTTTAATTGGAAATTCTTAAGAAATCAATAGATCAAGCAACTCGTGCTAATAATCAAAATGTCCGTATACATAACACTTGGGTGACCAGACATCCCAATAAAATCGGGACTGTCACAATTTTTAGTTCTTTGTCCGGCATCCCAATATTGCGGCTTTGGCCTCTCCAGTGGTTTTTCGTTGTTTTTTTTGCTTTGACAACTCGGCTCCAGCCGCTTTTTGTTGTTGTTGCTTCCCCCATGTGTTCCGATATTTTGTCCGTTTCATCTGGTCACCCTACATAACACAGATCATTACCTGTTCCTATTGGACATTTTTTCATCCAACAAGCATTCACCAGTGAAGGAGTGTCTTATTGCATTGCTGTTGCTGACCTTCCACACCCTTTGATAGCCCTGGTGATATGTGATATATTTTTTATCTATGTGAGCAATTCAGAGAACTTGTTACATTACTTGGATAGTGGCCAGTTCTTCAACCCGGACTCTACATTAAGTTTTCTCTAGCAGTGGGGTGAAGGTGAAAAGTTCCAGATTTCAACTACCCAAAGTTTAGATCTGATCAGACCCAGGATTTTGGAGTGGGCCCATCTCTGGTTTTCTGAGGAGTCACTGATGAAAGCTAGTTGATTTTGGGGGAGGGTCATTTGTTTTGTTTTTTTGGTGTATTTCTTGAGGAAACACAAAGCCATCTTAATTGCCATGCACTCACTGGGGAGCCCAGGAGCAAGGATGTAGACAGTCCATGAAAGGAATCCTCACAGAATGGAACATGGCAGATTCCCTGGAATGCTTTCTACTGTCACAATACTATAATCCTAGCTTGGTACCAGGAAACTGACTATGAAAGCAATTTTCAGATTGCATATGAAGCAAACTTACTATAAAAGGAGTGGAGGAACTGACAAGTAAACCTACTGATGCAACCCACAAGGTCTCACCCATGGGACGTGTGGTTCTAGATCATGTGATTACCATTTCCATTCGTGAACCACCATCTCTCAACCAAGTAGGCAGTGGAAATGCTGTACCCCTTGAAGTGTGAGCCATACTAACCAAAAGGGTCATGAGGCCTGGGCCTAAGGAGCAAATGAGTTGGGGATACTGTTTAATGTTTTAAGTCTAAACCGAATAAAAACCTTTTAACTCCTGATTTTTACTTTCAAATTTCAGAGCAAAAGGAAATCAGTGCAAATCTGTAGATGGGACTTTCCAGAAGTGGGAGGGGAGAGAAGTCAGGTGTTTTCCCATGGGGAAAGACATAAGTCTCATGTCATATTCAAATACTGGTGTGGACTGTGATATATGACAGGAGTCACTTTTACTTTAGTCTATATAGAGTCAATATATGATCTCTTTCAGGTCCATTATGCAAGCCAGGGAGTGAGGCAGGCAGAGAGAGAGGAGCAGCGGCTTTGAGAAGAGGCTGGTGCACTGGGAGTGCGGTCACAGTGGAAGGGGAGATTATCCCTTGCAACGGCTACCGAGCTGTTAGCCTTTAGAGCAATGTAGGCCCATAACCCACAGGAATCAGGTCAGAGAGCACATCAGTTTACCAGTGTTGAGGAAACTTTTTAAGAAAATACACTTTTCACCTGAAGACCTATAAAAAGCAAGTGAAAAAGAAGAGACAACATGTCAGAAGCTATTACTGGAATGGCTGCTCTAAGACCATGGTGAAAAAAAATGGCAAGAGATCTCAAGTCTCACAGACAAGAAGCTTCTTCTTCAGTTCTCCTTCTGGCACTCAAAAAGGGCCTTTGGACAACAGGGCAAGAATAAGAATGGGCAATTTTATTTGCTGCCACAGAAATTGTAACATTAAGAGAAGTCATCAAAATTCTCTGCAGAGCAAATAAAAGCAGACGTTCTCCCTCGAGAGATCAGCCTGTAACTTTGTTTTTCTATAGTTTAGCAATCTCCACTTTATTTGAAGCAATGTTAATACATTTTTTAAAATCACAGATTCTGATCTTCACAGATTGTCACTCCAAATACGGACCCTTTCACTGCTGAGGCCTTGTCTTCACACAAAAACTCCACTGCTTTAACAATACTGCTGTAGTTAAAATAACATAACCCCCGCTGGGGTCTATAGCCATATAAAAGTGCTGATACTAGTTCTGCTATTCAGGGGTGTCATTTCCTGTGGCGCGGGGGAGTAGAAGGGAGAGGAACACCTTCTCCTCCATTGTCAGACTTTCCATAGGGCTATATGCTCCACTTCCTGCTCCCCACTCAAAGACTTTGCAGCTTATAACATAACCACATATAACATTCTATATGCTGACACAACTCTCACCCCACTCCAGAATTTCTCTGATATGATGGCCCTGTTGCTAGTCCTGCAAAAGAAAGGCAATAAGCAATACCAGTTAAAAGGAAATCCACACTAGGGGTTGCACCGATTTAACTATTTTGGTAGAAAATTCAACTTCCTAATAGAAATAGTTAAATTGGTATAAAAACTGTGTGTAGACAGTTTAAATGCAGCTAAGGTTGGTAGTAAACCAAATTTGTAGCCCTTTGCAGTCTTTGGCCTATATGACTGAGTGCTGGCCCCAGTCCTTTTCTAAGGGCTTAAGTGGGACTTAATTTTTGCATTGGTCCTGAGCTGGCCTTCTCCACAGGGAAGAATTTCACTCATAGTGAATAGGCTGTTGGAACTCGCCAGCAAAACTGTATTGCAAATAACCAAGGATCGGAAAGCACATTGTTGTCTGAGACATTAACACACCTTTGTGGAACTTGTGTTACATTTGCAAAAGTGCATTTATTTTTAAAGCATGATTTTGCAAAGAAAATGGAAGACAAGCTGTTCAAATGTCATTGTGGTACCTTAAACATTTGTGTCTCCACCAAACAAAGCGCAAAACAGTAGCTTGAAGGAAATTACACAAAACACTTCACAATAGCTGACCAAGATATATAAAAATTCTCAGAGAAATAATTACAACTGTAGGCTGAATCCACATAGGGCAGTAAATTGAACAGTTGATTGCACAGGAGAAAGAAACTTGATTGACCAAAAAAAACTAATAAAAATTGCATTGTACAAGCTTGAATATACACTTAGGCCCAAACGACTTATGCATCTGTTTACATTTGTTTCAACGGGAGAACTTGTAATGCATAAAGTTAAGCGTGTGTGTACGTCTTTGGCAAAATACAGGGCCTAGTTAAGGCAATGAAAGTCTTTCCACTGATTTCAGTGGGCATTGGACTGGTTACTTATTGAACAAATTTGTCACTAAGAAGCTAGGAATAATTCCCTTAATTAAAATATATTTCCTTGTTATGCATGTGAATACTGAAATATCCCTTTACAAATAGCTGCATGTTTATAAACTATAACATTTATCTTTAAAAAACAGTCGGTGAGCTACCTCGCTTATTGTCAATATAATGTAATCATTTGCCATTAAAGATAATACCCAGTGTAATCATTATTTAAACCCAAGTGATAGTCCCCACCCTCAGCCCCCTCAGACCTGGGAGACACTAAATGGAAAGGCAATTTTGGCTGGGCCAAAAAGAAATAAAATGAAATTCAGGTAGTTACACTTAAGTGTTTCAGCTACTTTTGTTTGTGTTTTATAGCTACACATAAGGCTTACTTTTGAAAGATGTAGATGCTGTTGCTGCTACTTAATGACAATTTTTGTCTTAAAATTCATTTTGAAATCAACATGTTTACAAAGTGGATAAATCAGTACACACACATCTGACCGAATCAATCCCAGGTATAAGACCACTGAAGTCAGTGGAGTTACTCTAGGATGAATTTGACCCATTTTTAGTGGTGCTAATGTCTGCGTTCTGTGAAATAATACTTTGCAATTTGCTTGACTGTTTTAATAGCTAATGTATTTATGGGGGTACTCACACTGAGGTCACCATTAGAGCTGAGGGACTTATTAATTATTTACTCAATTAATTAGGCCTCTTTTTTTTTTTTCCAACTAGTGGAACAATTGTGGGCAGATCACTCTTTCTGCTAATTTATTTGTTAGTTGAATTTACTAAATCAATCTTTTTACAGCATGGACCAACTGCAAAGCGCTTAATGGAAGAGGGTCATATGCAACAGGGAACAATGGGGCCTGCAGTCCTGATGTGAAGGTCCTGCATCATATAGCACACTTTGACTGGAAGCAGCTGAGGAGGAGGCAGCTGGCAGCAGGTGAAGAGCCCACTCTTTGATGTACAGGCCGCACTGTTTGTGGAGGTCAGCTGAAGAACTTAGTTGCCGAGTCCTGACTTCTGTTATAGCACAGGCTGCTGAGGGAGGGCGTGAGGGGAAGGGGGAGGGGAAGGATACACAGACACCTATGTGTGACTAAAGAGAAGATGTTTGAGATGGAAGAAGAGAAGGATATAAAGAAATGGAAGGAGAGAACAAGAAAAGATGGAAAGAAAATGTGAAATAGAGATACAAATGTGTTGTGAATAACACAGTATGCTTAATTCCAACAGCAGGCTCTAGCAGTACAGGATTTTGATCCACTAGAGACACCATAGTGTAGACAGGGCAACTGTGTACCTTTGGAAATGTGGTTGCCATATTGAATCAAGCTGCAAACCCTGAGGAGGCTCCACTCTGTGTCTCTGTGTGCTTTGACCTAATGCAAGCTTGGTTTTGTTTGTTAATTATTTCTCATGCTGTGCTGTATTTCTGTTGCAGAAGAGAAGTTGCTGAGAGGAGGGCACATTGGACCTCAGTGTTTGGAGTGTCTTTGGCTTGATCACAGAACCACACAAGTTAGGAAAGAGCTACTAGGTCAGTCAGGCCATCGCCCTGCAAAGGCAGCACTGGGCCCTACAGTATTTTCTAGTTCAGGTAGACCAGATGTGGCACTCCACCAGTTCACTCCAGTCAGGGGCTCTCCGGTCTCAAACACCCATAACATTTGACTGCTGATCTTAAATGAGTATTGTCTTCTATATTTCAAAAGACTTTCAGCATCACAAACCCCATCAAATAAAGCTGCAGGTGTTTCTATTTTACCGATTTGACTATAGAGTTATAGAGCAGTCCAAGATTTCATATGTAACTAGGTTAAAAAAAATGCTCATGGTTTTTATTCCTTAACTGACGAGGCGCTCTCCTTGCTCATCAGGCGACTCCTGATGATTGCGCTGCTGTGTCTTGATAACTGATCCTGAAATTCTGATGTTGTAAAGAAGTACAGGATTGGATCCAAACAACAGTCCAGGCTTGCCAGGCTTAAGCAAAAGGGCTGAGAGTAAAGAGTGCTTCGGCGTATGGCACAGTGTGTAATAACATTCTCTTTCACCATCATGTAGAAGAAGAAGTTTATGTGATACGGTGTGAAACATACAAAGAACACAGCTGCACACATAGAAACCATGCGTAAAGCTCTCCGTTTTTCACTGGCATTTTGCAAAGGCATTTCATATTGCTGAAGTGACTCTTTTGTTTTCCAGGTACAGTATACAATAATAATTAGAGGGCCCACAAATCCTAAAAGCTCAGCTATCGTTACCATAATCACAGAAGCTGTTTTACTGTCAATTTTCCTGACTCCGAGATCTGCAAAGCAGGAATTTGAATGGTTGGTTAAGTCAGAGTTTCTCATAACTGGAAATGGTAAGCAAGCAGCCCCAACCACAATCCATACCACAGCACTAATGGCGACGTCATACCTGCGCTTCCAGTCTTTGGCTTTGAATGGATGGAGGAGGAAGTAGTACCTTTGAATACTTATGCAGGTAAGGAAACAAATGCTTGCGTACATGTTGAGATATTTCAGGTAGAAACATAACAAGCAGAGAAATCTCCCAAAAGGCCACATGTGGTTTATATAATAATATATTCGTAGCGGTAACGAGAGAATGTGAGCAAGATCAGCTACAGCCAAATTAATCATAAAAATGACAGCTTTGTTTTTCTTACTGATGAAGCGACATAAAACCCACAATGCAGCACTGTTTGCCAGGAGGCCAGGTATGAATATTATGGTGTAAGTGGTTGCGTATAGAGAGTTTTTAAATGTTATATTAGGATCAGCACAGTTTTCTGAAGATCTGTTGCTCTGCATCTTGAGTGTGTCTGAGCAATCATTTGGGACTGGATGGAAGATTTCTGTAAAGAGTAAAAAAATAATCATAACATCTAGCTCTTACATAGCATTTTGCATCAGTAGATCATGATCCCCATTTTGCACATTGGGAAACTGAGGCTCAGGGAGGTAAAAGTGACTTGCCTAAGGTCTCCTAGCCAGCAAGCGGCAGAGTCTGGAATGGAACCCAGGTCTCCTGAGTCTCAGTCTACTGCTCTAGCCACGAAGCCACGGTGCCTCCCAAAACAATTGCTGTAAAGGCAAAGGCAATGCAAGATTGATTAATATTACTATTTCCTCACGTGCATTACTTATATTAGTACATTTAGTAGAATTACAGCCTAGAACATGTCCTCTGTATATCTCCTTCTCGCTCTTCAATGCTTTTTCACAAGCAGTAAGATACTTTGGGGGTTATGAAACCTCAAAGACTATTTCCCTCGATCTAAGGTATTTACCTTGTCCCCATTACCATAGTATCTGAGCACCTTACAATCAATAATGCCCTGGTGAGCTAGAGAAGTGCTTTTACCCCCATTTTACAGCGGGGGAAGTGAGGCACAGCAAGACTAAGCAACTCAGCCAGGGTCACACAGGAAGTCTGTTGCAGATCAAAGAATTGAAGTTGGGTGTCCCAAGTATCCAGTGCTTAATTGCTGGAGCTCAAGCAATTTTTTACTTTCATAAGTGATGCAGCAGGTCCAGAGGTGCCAGGACTATGAACTGCCAAGCCGACAGGTGCTGGGGCTCCGCCCTGGCACAAATTAAGCACTGCAAGTATCAGTCTAGTTCCCTAATCACTTAATCACTCTTCTCTAAGTGAGCCAGGTCCATGTCACTGAAGCAGCAATGGGACCCTGACAAAGTCATAGCCATCAGTGAAGATGGGATTGATTGCTACCCAGGCTAGAAAAAGTCCTTATCTCTGACCGCCCAGGATAACCTACAGTCTGGGCTAGACAAATGGAATTTACTTTCTTACTGCTCACCTAACACGTTGAACTACACTTAAAATGTGGTCATCCTGGGTCTCCCCATCACCGCAACACAAATCTGGGCCACAATTTTTAATTGAGCTGTTTAATTTTGAGATGATACTTTCCTTTTTCAGACTCTCCTTTGATTCAAACTTCAGACTGATCAGGGTGGGGTGAGGAATTTCCAATTAAACTGTTAAATTAGTACTTTTCCTTCTTTAAACCAAACTGGGATTTCTCCTCAGAGGGGGTAGTACAGGCAGGAAAAGTTTAGTTTGGGGATATTCCTGTTAACTCAAAAGCCTGGGTTAGTTGCTTTACCAGCTCATCCAATGTAAGGGTAAAAATGAAGACTGGCTTCCTGTTTCCATGTAAATGTCACAGAGTGGCTGAAGAAAGAGATGAGATTCCCAGATGCTTTTCTACATTCCTTCCATGGCTCCACTCAGGGAAGTCCCTGGCAGCAGGATTTTATTGTCTCCCTTTTGCCAGGAAGTGTGCATGGAGCCAGTATGAAAGCACAGACTTTCTGCATGGCAGTTGCAGGCCTTCTGCTGATTCCCATTCCCCTATGATCCACGAGAATCCATTGGATCTTCTAGGTAGCCCAATAGAATGACGATGGAGGGATTCTGTGAGGAAAGTTTCTCCACCTTAGTTCCCTGGAGGGAGTTTTACTATCAGGATATAGCATTGGGGATATTGATTCACTGCCAATGACTCATTTTCTGCAAAGTACCACCTACAGGAGGCATCTGCCAGCAGAAGTGTCTCTGTAAGTAGATGCTGGCCTGGTAACTTGTAGCATGTTACTCATACATGAGTAAGAAGCAGATGGTCTACTACAGGGTATGATCCAAATTCACCATTGGCCTGCTTATGTCAACACCGCCTATGGCCACCCGTTTTCTGTGCCAGCAGGCCCTGGAAGCAGCAGTTGTTGCTTACTCTCTTTTTTGCCCTTCATTTGAAATGTGTTTCTATTCCTCTGGCTTTTCTTTTCTCCTGGTCTTAAACAGTAGCCCAGCAACGGATTAACGCCATGCAGCACTAACAGCCACCACCTACACCCCACCCAGGAAACAGCCCACTGAAATGGCTGACTGAGATAAGTGGGAGTTAGGCCTTTTTTGAAAATACCACTGATCCGATCCGCATCTTTAGGCATCTAAATACCTTTAGCAATCTGGCCCATGGACTGCTGTTGTTACATGAACTTCAATTCCATTGACCTGAAATTAAATCAAAATGGGGTATTTCGGTTTCAGTCCCTTTGCATGCAGATGCCCCTAGATGCAGTTAGCTTTCATTACATTTTACGTAATAACTAAGGAATTAGAGTTCATAAGCACTTTTGATGTAATCAAGCACAGCCTCCTGGCTCACCAGCGAGACCGCTCCGACTGCAAGTCTTAAAAAGAACCCATGTATTAAATAAGCATCTGAGAAAACATATTACCATCCCTGCTTCAGTAAAGCATTGTCTGCATACAAGTGATTTCCAGTAACGCAGCCTTCATTTCCTAATGGCAAAATATACCTTCTTACAAGCACTCCAGACATGAGGAAATTCCTGTCCCTCAAAGGGTTTCTCACTGGTTGAGTTGCTCCTTGGCTGGTTAGAATCGTGTTTTCTCAGCTAAAAGATATAGGAGCAGAATGATGCAGGTCTAGCATTGCTGATAGTTAGAGAATAATGGCATTTTTGTGCCACAGTTTTCATCTCATCCTATAATCTGTTCTTCAATTGGCCACAAGGTGTCAGATTTGACAACCTTTCATTTCTTTTTGCCTTTTCTTTGAGAGAGATTTCTAACTCTGGTAAGCGAAAATAAGGTGTTGAGATACTATGGTGTTGAGGGCCACATAGACCCCTAGATAGATATGGTATGACTACTTTTAAATGATGTTTTATTGGTTTTGTGTGTCTTAATGCCTTCTGGGATTGTCCCAAATTGAAAAGTTTGTGTTCTGATTTTTGACAATTGATACCAGAATAATTTCAGAGAAAAATCCCCTAACTTCTTGATGTTATAGTTAGGGGAAAGTCCTGATTTAGGGAAATTAAATAGATTCTCTTTGAATCGGAATCATTGTGGCCACAGTTACATGGTTACAAAAATACCCTTAAAATGTGGTTGACAAAAAATAAAAATTAAACATCTGTATTAAATTAGCAATTGAACGATGGGCCTGTACAAGGCTCTTTATTGATTTCAGTGGGCTCTGGGTCAGGCTCTATATGATGAAATATGGACTAAGGAAAGTGAAATGATTGGGAGTGCAAAATCATGGGTAACATTTGTATGATAATAATGCTCAAGTATAGAGCATTCTCACACACCAATTCACTAGGCTTGCCACTAATTAATCACTTTATTTAAAACATAATAAAACTATCCTCTAAGCTAAAATACAGAAGGATCCTGTTAAACACCTGGCAGCACTGGACCCTCACTACAAAGCTACTGACAAAGCAAGGGCACCAACAGTATGTTGCATAGCACAGGTGGCAAGCTAACATATTCCATTCAATTATCTTTTTTCCCTTATAATGAAGACATATCACAGTAGTTTGGAAGTCACAAGAGGACAGTGAAAGCCTCTGCTAAAACAAATTCCTACTGGATCATTTTCTTCAGAACATGCCATTTCAATAAAATCAATAATGAATAAATACAATATTGATGTTTGCTTAATTGATTTGCATTTGTAAGACTGTGGTAACAAGGAAGGAAATGGATTGTACTGGTACACACTATTACTTGGTTACTTGTAGACGAAAGTCTGCAAAATATTATTTCCATGGCAATATCAAGAAAGGAATGGTCAAGCTGAGACCAACAAGGACTGTCATTCCTTGACTCTGCTGTTTTTTGGGGGGCCATCAAGTGGTGTCCAGACACTAGAACTGATTTAACTATGTTGCAAAATCCTCCCTGTAGAATTGCCCCTTTGTGAGTGTTCCTGTATCTTGCACATTGCTGGGGTCACAATGAAAACAGAAACCCTCACAGTCAGCAGTGAAAAGCTCTACAGCTGAATCAAAAGGAAGGCTTCCCCTGGCTGAATGCTTAGCTGTGATAAATATGTATGTCTTACAGTGTTGTGACGCATGGCTAGAAAGGGTTAACAGCTTGCAGGCTGAATGACCCAAAGCTCACCTTTAAAGTCACGTTAGACAGATATGCAAATGATAATTAGAGCCATTCATGCTAAATGGGCTAGAACTTTGAAATCCAAACCTATACTGTTAGAAGTAATACTAATTGTGTGTACCTTAGATGTCACCTGTAAACAGACAGTTCCTGTCTGTCACTATAACTATTGATTCAGAGATCAAAAGGGAATATTAACATTTGGATGAATCTTGGGTAAAATAATGTCATTGTCTATATTTGAAGTTTGTAATAGACTGCCTAATGGATAAATTGACCTGTGTTAATTTGTGTAACTAATTACTGGTAGTGTTCAGAAAGCAAAAGGTTACATCAAAAGCCTATTGTTTAACCAGGACTGTGCGGTCAAGTGGATGCTAGAACACTGTATAAAAGATCCTTGGGTCCTGATTTTGTCATCTCAGATCTGCTTAGGCTTCATCAGGGGAAGTTTGAGTCGCAAGACTGAGGTCCCAGTTATGCTGGTACGCCCTGAATATGAGATCTGGACATTGGACTATAACCTATGAACTATTTCTGAAAGAACTCTTTGCAGCTACAAAGCTCACCATCTATGCTGTGAATCTGAACCTCAATGCATTGAACTCATGTCTGTATGTATATTGATCTTTTAACCATACTCTCTCTCTTTTGTTTTTTAATAAATGTTAGTTTAGTTAATAAGAATTGGTGATAGCGTGTATTTGGGTAAGATCTGAAACATTCAGTAACTTGGGAGGTAATGTGTCCAATCCTTTGGGATTGGTAGAACCTTTTCTTTTATATGATGAAATAAGATGTACAGAAATTGGTACCATATTTGACGTGGGTACCTGGATGGAGGCCTGACGCTGGATCACTTTAAGGGAACTGTGTTGTTTTGACTTC